CCTTCTTGAGGCTTACAGATCCCGACTAATGAAAAGTTTGATTTCCCGGCATCAATCTGGGCCACTTCCAGAGCTTGAAATCCTTTCAGAGAAAAATTTCTTATTACTGCCGCGGTTAGTGTATTTCTTTTGATAGAGGCCATACCCCTTTCCATGCCCTCAGTTAGTAGATAGGCAATTCAAACCAGTATATATATTGACGACCTTTTAGTATGCTATGGTTTCCAACTCCCCACAGCAATGCCAAATAAGCGACGAAGTTATTCATGTACACCAGGGCTCAAAGATCCTGCGTCTAAAACCCGTGACTTTGTTCTGTTGCATATCTACAACCTCAATGGATGGGCCACAACCTGGTTTGTATGGAAGTAGCCACTTTGTGATATGTACGCGGTGATATCAAACAGGAAAGCACATCGCGCCATTTTATTTTCCTTTGATAGCTGGATTTGGTATGTCGAAATTCATGACACGTCCCAGAATCCCTCGACCCAGACATGCTCGGTCCAAATTCTTAATGGTAATGTCGCAAATCCACAATTCGTCATTATAAGACCCATCCTTACAAGCCTCAGAACCTCATTGACTACCTCGTAGTCTAGTATCTCAAATTGAAAATGTAGAATAAGAACGCCTTGTTGGTTCCCACAGTTGTTATGAGTATCTTACAACTATTCGTTTCTCCACTCTACCACTCCGAGCTCATAGAATCATGTTGCATATCTACAAACTTAATGCACAGACCTCATCCTGACAGATATCAGAATAGTAACTTCATGATGCCTTCACCATAAAACATATTTTTTTTTAGCTTAGATAAATGGTAACGACTTTGGAGTCGACCTGCTTCTTGAAATATCTTTTGTCTAAGAGCTCTCAGCCCAAGATCATTCTGGTAATGTTGCGAATATAAATCTCCGTATCGCAAGATACACCTTCACCAGCCTTCCAGTGTGGGCACCACTCGAGGCCTTTATAGAGCTGATGCGTCCCTGATGAAAGTGCAAAATGAAGAAATTTTCTTAGCCACAGGATTTGTGGTTCTTAATCTACTAGTGTTAATTCAAATCCCGTAGAATAGTTATGTTGCATATCTACACGTCCACTTGTCCACTTGTCTACTTGTACTTGTCCACTCGTCCACTTATCTACTTGTCCACTCGTCCACATTGCGAAGCTAAGCTCATCAGAATAGTCACCTTCTCATGCGTTGGTTTGTGGAGATTATTGTGGCCGTTACTATCCTGCTACTACAGTCCACATTCAACGAACCAACTACATGCTTGAGGTCACATAGGGATGCGGAAATTTGCAAAAATCGAGAGAAAAACAACAGAAAGAAACAGTTGTAGCTATCAACTCACATCCAGGCACATGAATAACAAACTATTCTCATTCTCCGAAATTTTCTCAAACAAAAACCTTCATGCCATTTCAAGTCATTACAAGTACTAACCGTTATTAAGCAATTAGTTCACAAAACCTGTCTTTGAAGGCTAGATCACAAACCTCAACCTACAGGAAACTAACTAGAATCACCCCATCATTCCAAGGGCTCTACATTCAACCCCTTTAAAAAACTAACGTTGCATATCTACAATCCATTACACGGACCTTATCCTAGGAAGTGTATGAGTAAAGTAATACTCAAAGTTTAGACTATAAGTCTTGGCGAGAGCTTAATCTGGATTTTCTCAGCGGCAGAGTTACTATAATCTTAGACTCAAAGTTAGGGTGTAATATGATAGATTAAGTTCTAATAGATATATATACAGTGTTACCGGTACGATAATAGTAAATCAACTCTCTTCACATCTACATTTAGAATCATTTCATTAAGCACTTGATAAGAGTATATAAATTATGTCACACAACTATATACCCCTGACATAGCCTTCATCAGTCAGCATTAATAGTGCCAAAGTACCAACCCTTAAAATAAAAGATTTGGAACTCCCAAGTCTTGAAGGAACTAATGTGAAGCGATTCTTTAGTTTCGACAACTATAACTAGTGTAGGATTTGGCGTTACAGCACCCCCACTCACGTCGTGTGGAAGTCTTCCGTTGCACATATACATTCTAAAATTACTAGGCTCATTCCAGAAACTATATATGCACCATTCTTACCATCCAAAGGTTACCCCCATTCTGAAAATGAAGCCGTAGCATATTTGCACTAGGACGTTAGTCTTAGACCACTCAACCTTCCCAGTCTCTGTATTCAAAGTCTTAGAAAGATTAGTCGCATATCTGTATTTCTATTCCCCGAATTATCAACCTACAAGTTAGTAGATATTATATTGAATCCAGTGATCATTACCCCATAATATAATCCAGAAATAAGCAGCTAACCAGGTCTCCTAGCTCCAGAATCCATAATTATCATCCAGGAATCACACCTCGATAACTCCCTCCATGCTGAAGGTTAGATATATGTCCTTCTGAACACATCTTCATCTCTAAACACCATGGTGTCTAAAACGAGAAGAATGAATTTATAGATGGGCTCCTTTATTGTTTCCTATCCGTCTCATCATGTCAATATTACATCTTATTTTTACATCTGACTCGTTCTCGATATCCTTGTAGTAAAGCTGACACCGGCTTAACAGGTTCAAAGTAGTACCTTGTAATGAGGTAAAAGGGGAAAAATAATGCTTTTCGGTCTTGAGCTCAAAGTAAGCTATACCAAAGAACCCTATCCCGAAAGGAATCTAGATGTAAATGCGTGAGGTAAATAAGATGGACTTTATATTTGATTTCTCCAAACACTTGTTCAGATCTAATAGCACATATATTTAAAAATTGAGTTGGTTTATTTGATAGTCTAAGATATTACTGCTGTTTTTTGAATACTAGAAGGATAATCGACGTGCCATTCGTGATAAAGAACCAATATGGCTTTGAGGGGAAGTGCATATGTAGATTATAGAAAGAATGGGGATTTTGAATCTCGAGACTGAGAAATGTGGAAGTGTACTCTGTAAGTGGGGATATCGGGATGAGAGAACTCAATACTCTTTTTGGAAGCTGTTATATAATCGTCATATTTACAGTCCAATTGCGAAACAATGATGTTATTAGACATTTGATATATAACAAGATCAGAGGGCATCTCCTACGATAATAGAGTACTTGGATCATAACAGTATTCCAAACTAACATATATCAACTCATTACTCAAGGACATTAAGTAAAATTGAGTTAGCCATCCAACAATATGCCCCTAAATCAAATAACACAATCACAAACGGCAACATTATACTACATAAAGTACCGCCCACCAAAAACAAAAAACGCAATAAGCAAACAGGATATCGAAAACAAAACAGGCCTCTCTTGGATCTTCTGTATCCTATTCTATACAGTCAATCGGAAACACCATGGACGGAGACTACCTTCCATTATCCCATTACATAGCCTTGTCGGGAATTATTAGCTGGTTAGAAACGTCTATAGTACGTTATCATATCTTCGTCGCCATCCAGTGTCGTCCTGAGATTATTGCCTAATATAGTCCCTGCTGAGTTGAACTGAGTCCGACAGAGAGTGGTGAATTTTTTGTGGCCACACACCATAGATTCCAACTCATTATGCAATTAGCAAAATGCAAGTCCATTCCATTTCGACATTACCGCGAACTCAAAACCTAATCATCCCGTTTGGAATTCCATCTCATCCTAATGCTCAATCAAAGCCCCTTAATATTTATCCGCCACAATTTTCCTTTCTGAATATACCTCCACTAGATTCGATCTCACCATTTCGATAACTACCATCTGCACTCCCATTGTAAGCTTATGTCCCGCTAATCCAACAATGCAATCATGATGAGCAACAAACTAATGATAGCCAATAAGTAAAGATGAATTGTAATGCCAAAGCTGTACTCTGCATAATAAACATCATTTTCTACGTTCGGCATTGATCATCCTAGAGAGGGGAAACCCAAGAGGGTATTTTGAGCCGGCAGACGATTGATAGGTAGTGGAAGGAATTGTGTAGAATATGAACATCACTTCTTAATTTTCTTCTCAATGTCCAATCGGTTGTTCGCATGGTGCCTTTCATTCTTTAAAGTCATTCTAGTTTTCAGGTTGATACGCTCCACTAATGAATGAATTTATGCGGGGCATATTAGAAAAATGATAATAACATATGAGCTAAAAGCTTGCTTAACCAATAACTAAATAACTCCGTATCATGCCTGGGGCTCTTAAAACATATGCAAAACAGTCAGACGGCAAGGAACGTGGCAGCAATTGGTCGATCCCTCGTATATCACCGCATCTCTCAACCTTGAAGGTACTTGAAAAAGGCCTTGTCTTGTTACAAATGCATGCAAAAAATCGAGTATTGCATCCTCGACGGTTTGTTGCATGATATCGAAAAACAAAAGAATGGTCAACCCGCCCACGTTCCACAGCATCGACTTATGAATTTGATTGACAAATAGGCGGTGCATTTGATGATGGTGGCTTACTTGAGCACCTCATCTGAGCGAAGCATGATACCTTGCGATCGATATAAATTATTTGGTGATATATCGTCCACTCGGACTTGTGCCAAATTCCCAGATGATACTAATGCAGCTTGACCGACTGCGCAAAGCTGGTTGAAGGAAGTCTGCACTACGTGAAGATCGAGATAGCTCATGAATTTTCCTCATGTAGACCTGCAGTCTAAAACCAGCATTTGCCCTCGTTGTCCTTGCCTTATCCTGCATTTCCGGAACACATTGGTGTTGCATGACAATATGACAGACATGTCAAGCAGGTTAAAGACAATGCAAGGAAAATATGTGAGTAAAATTATTCAACCATTCGTCAAAATATGGTAAGTAGCCAAGTACTCCAAATAATTATGTGAATGTGCAAAAAACCAAAAGCAGAACAAGAAACTTTGTGGTCGAACCTCGTCTCGTCTACTTCGTACATTGAATCAACCCCGCCTTAAACTTGATAAAACCACACCCCCTAAAATCCTGCCCTCAAATTCAAAGACGTCACCAAACATCCCAGCTTAATTGAGCTTCCAGAAGCTGTCGTGCGAGTATTCGTAGTTACACATTCATCAATCTGTACCACAACAAAAACAAGGCAGCACATCTGCAATTACCCTCACCGACTTCTTAAAAACTTCTCACATTCCTCAACATATCAATACCCTCGCCAATATGGTTCTCGAGGATTCATCTTCCAAAGAGGCAAACGAATCATTCGACTCAATTCCTACATCCGACAGCGATCCCTATGCGTCTGCCGGACAAGGTCAAGGTGGAGGCCAAGGTACGGGTAGACAAACATACAGAGTCGATGGCAGTACGATACCTAAACCTTTGCCAATATTGGGTCCTCTATTCGGTTTCAATGATGCCTTTCTAAGCAAGATCATCAATGCCCGAGTTCAGAATGCAGCCAAAGTTACGAAGCGACCTCTTAGACAGGAAGAAATCGACGCCCTTGCATTCCACACGGCGAAAATCATCAGAATTAATTCATTTGCTCCTGTAGCAGGATTATCTGCGGGGATCTACAGAGCAACTCAAACTGCGGCCACTTTCCGATTTCCATTCTATCAACCAAATCTTGAAACGTTCAATTCAAATGTATTTCCCCATCCGCGAATGCCTTATATCAGGGGATTTCCGGCGATCATTGCCTGGCACACATTTAGGGGCTTATGTTACTGTTATGTAGGACAAACGGTATCAAAAATTCTATTTGGAGGATATGCAGCTAGTGTAGGGGCAGTAGGACAAATGGGAGATAAACGATTAAAAGATATTGTAAAAGCTACCACGGAAGAAGTTGCCAGAACTCAAAAGAATCTACCTAGTCCAGCAGGAATTCCAAGACCACGAATGAAGCCGGGACAAGGACAATCACAAAGTGGAAATACTCAGGATCATGATGATGCTAGTCCAACGGGTGGCGCAGATTGGTATGGAGATGATGGTGCATCGGGATCTACACAATCAACTCCTCAAACCTTTCCACCCATGAAACCACAAAGACAATTCCCCACACAAGCTCCAGCTCAAGCACCAGCACAAGAAGAAGAAAAACCATTTGATTTATTCGATGATGCATCACCTACCAGTGGACAAGGAATGAATACCAATACAAGCACATCTCAATCTTCCAAACCGACTTCAGGTTCAGCATGGGATAGAGTTCGTCGTGGTGAAAAACCTGCTTCTAATATCAATACACCTTCACAGTCTCGAAAATCTGGCTGGGCGACAAATACACCTAAAACATCTGAAGTAGCAAGTACAGATACTTTTGCATTTTCTAAAACAGAAGAGGAGAGGAATTTGGCGCAATTGGAGGCGCAGAAGGAATTTGATGCGAGGGTTGAGAAGGAGAGAAGAGGTGGGGATTTTAGTAGTGCTGGGGATCAGAAGAGATGGTGAAGTGGGGTTTGGATATTGTATGGTTGTATGATTATTTGGGTGGAATTATTATTAGGTTCTTATGGATATTGAGCGTTTAAGTTGTATGTGCGTTTATGAATTGTAATTGAATGAAATCGACAAAGGTATTTCTCTATTATGATCTTGATATGATATAATGAGTTAGTGAAAGAATATTGATTTTATCTCTTAGAATGTCAACTTAAGACGTCTAGATGATCTATACAATATACTTTAAATGATAAAGTTTAGTTGATCAGAATAAACATTTTAACACTTTTTAAAACTTTTTTAATAATTTATTTTGAATTAAAGATTGAGATTTTGAAATTTATAAAAAAATTTATTTAATTTAAAGAGATTATAATAATTTTATATATTAATAAAATTCTTGTTAAACAAAATGTTAATAATTAATATTTTAAAAGATATTTAACTTGATATTATTTTTTATATTAGAAATTTTAATTTTAATTTTTTTAATTTTATTAATTAAAAATTGATAATTGAATTTTTATTTTTATTTTTATAAAATTTATATATTAATTTTAAAATTTTAAAAATCTTAAATAATAGTTTAATAAAATTATAGATAAATTTAAAAGATTTTTAAATTTTTAAATTATAATAATTATTTTATTAATTATATTTTAAATATTGTATTTTTTAATTATTTTATTAATAATAAATTTAAGTTTATTTTTAAATATGATTATATAATATTTTTAATTACTATATTAACTTTAATTTTAATAAAAGATTATTTTAAATTTATATACAAATTTTATATAAATAAAATATTTTAATTAATAAAATTTACAATTCAAATTTCAATTAATTTTATTTATTTATTATTAAAATATTAAAGTATTAAAATATTAAAGTATTAAAGTAATTAAAGTTATATATTCATCCTCGCAAAATCAAAAAAGTAATACGATAGAAAAGCCACGTGAAAAAGTTCTGTTCTCCTCTTCTCCTCTCTCTGTACTCCTTTTCCTCTCCATCAATCATCAATCAACCACCCCAGTAATTAAAATTATGATTATATCTGCCTTCCCTCCTTCCCTCCCCTTTAAAAAAACTAAAAGAAGAGAAAAAAATCCACGCTACAGTGTAGTCTTAGGAGACTTTAAAAACTAGAAATCCTAATTTTTGACTTCAGATATCCTCCTTCTCCCTTCTCAAATTCCCTCATCCATCTCCCCCCTAAACAGTAAACAGTAAACAGTACCAGCCTGTTTAAATTCCATCCAGTGATGTGATGTATTAGTCTTCTTCCATCTCTCCATCCATTCTCAATTATATTCCAGTATCCGGTACCCAGCCAGTACCCAGTATCCATTTTGTAAGCCCAGCCATACATAACGTATGATTAAAATATTATATCTTCTCTTTCCTTTCCTTTCCTTTCTGTCTGCCTTTTGATCTTCGTGTTTTTCTTTTCTTTTTTCTTCATGTGATGTTTTGGTTTTCCGATCCTGGAATCCTGTGATGCATCATGTACCTGTGCAGATATCGCAATCAGAGCTAGCCTTACTAATCCCCGGAGGACCCATATCCATCGGAATATTTAAATTATTTGACGCTTGACCAATCGACCAATCGATCAATCAATCTCAATCTCCTCATCATTCCTCCAATCTCCTCTCCTCTTTTCTCTCTCTCTTCTTCCTTCCTTCTCCTTCTCAACCTCATCACACCACCCCAACGCCACCCCCACCTCCCCACCCCTTATACCTCCCCATCTCCCGCTCCCACCCCCTAACCTGCTTTGCTAGGGACTCCGCCTCCTGAAACCCCAACTCCGTCAATCCTTCCATATAAGTCCTCACTGTAAACAGGACCGCTCCTGATTTGGGTAAACGCGTGAATGTCTGACGTTCGCGTCGCACATAGATATCTGATGCTGTGAGGGGATGGGTAGGGGAACGTGGTGGTTCGGGGGCGTCTTGGAAGAGGATGGGTGTGGTTTGGATGAAGAGGTTTGAGCGTTCCATGCAGGTGCGGGGAGTTAGGTGGGTGAAGTATCTAGGGGTTTGTTAGGAGTTATTTTTTTTTGGTGGTGGATAGGATATGATAGGATGGAATTTGTATTTTGGTTGCGACGGGGGATTGAGATGTTTTTTTTTTAAAAAGATACATGTTAAAGGAAATACATACCGGTTAACACTCTTTCCTAATTTTTCTTTCCATCCCGGTACAGGAGCATGTAAAACAGCCATACTACTCCCAATCCTCTCTTGTAATTTCCAACCAGCAGGGAAAAGAGTAGCAGAGGCCATTAAGTTCCATTCTGCATCAACACCATCCTCAGGATCTTGAAGAAGAATATTGAAATCTTCCATACAAATTCTCGCTGCCGTTTCAAGGGGATTAGGACACGAAGAACCAATGATATGTTCCTCGCCGGTTAATTTATTTAGGAGTTTCTCAGAAGAAACAAGCGAAAAATCATCAGGATATCTCTTCAATAAAAACTCAACAGCCATCTCTAATACCTCATACGTAGCCGAAACAGCTGGTTTCAATACCTGCAACACACATGGACCATGTGTTTCTAGTAGTGAAGCTCGAAGCGTGTGTTCGGTTTGGTAGAAGGAATCGATGGTTAACCAGTTGGATTGGTCGAGTCGTTTGAGACCCATGGATGTTGGGTGTGGAGAGCTTGGTTTGAGGGGTGGGAGGATGTACGGTGGTTCTTGGGGGGCCGGTTCGGGTTTGCTTTGTTTTTGGGTGTTGGGTGTAGGTGTTGATGGGCTGGTTTTGGATGTTGGAGATGGGGTTGGGGATGTTGATGAGGTTGGTGAGGTGCATGATAGGAGACGGGAGATATTGGGGAGAGGATTATAGAGGAATTTTGTAGTGTTGGTTGCTGAACGGGATGTTGAGGATGTTTTTTGATGATTTGGTGGTTGAACTCGGTGGGTATGAGTCTTTCGTCGAAAACTGAGGATATATAACATGCAAGCCGTAGCAAGCACAATGATAGATTCCACGAGCAACATATTGCTTTCGCTGTATATGTTTGTGTTTCGTGACAACGAAGATAAAGATTTGAACTGATGATATACAGTAGAAACAGTTGAAGGTAAAGTTGAAGTTAAAGTTGAAGTTGAAGTTGAAGCCGAAGATGAGTTTGAAGATAGAGAAAACGAACCCTTAAAGCCCATTGGAAACGACATATTTATATCTCCCACCACCACATAAGCCTCCTTCGCATCCCCCACAAAAGTAGTTCCAGAAATTCGCAACGAGGATCCAGACCTATTCATCTGATCCCGAACAGGCACCCCCGATAACCCATGTACGAGTGGCGCCTGCAACCTTCTATCTTGCATCGGTACCCGGAGAATTTCTTGGATATTCTTGACAAGGAGTGCTCCCCCGATTCCGAGTTGCATATGTACCTAGTAGGTATGCTGTGGTCGGCACTTGAAAAAGGAAGTTTTTTGTTGTTCGGGGCAGGGTGAGTGAGGTAGGGGAGAATGAATGTAGCAGGGGAGAAAGCAAGCAAGCAAGCAAGCGAGTGAGCAAGCAGTAATATCTCAAAAAAGTAGGACTAATAAATGAAATATATGAATAATATATAAAACTTCTTCCCTTCCTTGTTACTTACTGAAAGGATTACCAGTTAATGTATGGTGTATGTATATGTATGAATATGTGGGTGAGAGAATTGAAAGATGAGTTATAAATAATATTGAGAGAAAGATGTCGTGTAGAGATATGTATGGATTGGTGTAACTTCAGGCTGCAAAATCCTGCAATGAAAGTAGGACGACAGGAATATTCGAGAATGGATAAAGATAGAGTGGATGTGAATAGATAGAATTGCTGAAAATAAGTCCCAGCTAAACGGGTTGGGAAGGAGGGTCTTTCTTCAATCACCTACACATACATGTACATGTACACATACATCCACATCCACATATACATATATACCAATCCCGTCATATCACACTATTATATCATTATGGAGAATATAAGTTAGATTGCTAGATTTTGCCTGAGCTTAGTCTCAGCCTTGATTTTGTCCACCTGTATTTCTTGGATCTGGAATGGAATAAGAAGCTATAACCTAGAGGTATGGCTGTGATTAAATTACCCCATTGCCCCTCGACAGATCGATCATTCAGATGGTCCACTCGGTCCGCAGTTTCTTGTGTGTAGTGTATGTAGTATATGTATATGTGTGTTAGAATTACCTTGACAATTTACGAGAAATGAACATGGGGGGGAGAAGTTATCAAAAACGGGAATCCCTTGATTAGAAGAATGAAGAGTCTGGAATGAAATGATGTAAGAAAAAGAAAAAAAGAAAAAAAAAGGAAAACCCAAAAACTTTGATACCAATATGATCTAAATATCTAGATCTAACTATCCACAGACAAGTATGTCCCTCTTGCCACCAAATTGTGACGGTTCGGTTTAAGGATATCATGCATGCATCACGCGTATGTACAGAGGATGTAGCATTGGGTAGATTAGGGGAAAAGGTAAAGCGGAAAGGAATTCCTGGGCCGGAATAGACAATAGACCAGCAGACAATAGACGGAAAGATCTATCGAATTTCGGAAAGGGGAAGACAAGAGGAAAAAGTTGGCTAAGTGCAAGTGCAAGTGCAAGTGCAACAGGTGGCTCGTATGATAAATAGAAAAACATAAACACAAAGACGAGGTCCCAACATCCAGTCATGAAGTTTATCTGGGTTCACGGCGATCACCCATACAAGCCGGTAAGGTGGGTTCCATGCTTTGGGATGCTCGGGAGATGTAGCTTCGGGATTCCGATTGGGTAATGCTCAAGATCCATCCATCGTAGGTTACCAAAAATATATGGGGAACAATGATGATGTGGGTTATTTTTAAATATTTTAAATATTAAATTTTGGAGATACTTTTATTACCCTTGGATCCCTTGGATACCTTGGATATACACTTTTGTAAAATTATTATCTTGGATATCAAATCACAGAAGCGTCCGTGTTGCGTAAGGTGTATTGTTTGGGTGTATATGATCTATCGAATAGGATTCCAGATGAAGGGAGTTAAGCATCACAACGTCGAAAAAGGTGTAGGGTTACGGTGAGTATCCCGTTCATGATTTCGTACAGAAAGTAAGGTACGTGATAGATTTTCAAGTAGATTCACACGGTGATTGGTTCAAAAAACCTCGGAAATCGGGGGATCTGTGTGAAATCTTTTTTGGATGTTGGGAAACGGGAATGAACAGGGATCTATTTTTTAATGTTGACCGCGAAGGCCGCGGGGGAATAAATTATTCCAAAAGAAAAAGCCGATTCATTTGTGATGGGAGTGTTTTTGATTGGGTTGGTTGAATATTGAATATTGAATGTTGAAATGTTGAAATGTTGAAATGTTGAATGATGAATGATGAATCTATGAGTAAAGATTAAATAATAATAAATGGGATTTCCGTCAAAGAGGATGACCATCATTGGAAGTTGGAAGGGTGGAGTAGAAGTTTGCTCATTCTTGTTCATGGATTCATTCATTGATTGTCTCTTCTCTGTGTGTGTCTCTTCTCTGTGTGTGTGAGTGTGTGAGTGTGTGAAGAATATTCGTAATGTGATGTATATGCATAGTAAGACAAGTTCCCATTCCTAAATAGGTAGGTACTTTCATGTACAGGAGGTGATGTAGCGAATACCTACGATATGATATAAATTGAAGAAGACGACTTCTTATTTGCTTATACCAAAGTCCTGATAGAGATCAAGAGTCTAGAGGCAGGTAGATTCATGTACCCTACCGACCCTACGTACCTCACTCATACTTTTGCATCATCAATCTCTCCAAGGTTATTTATTTATCTATTTATCTATTTATCTATTTATCTATTTAACTGTCTATTTATCTATTCAACTGTCTATTTATCTATTTATCCATCTATCCATCTATCCATCTATCCATCCATCCATCCATCCACCCCTTCCACCCATCAATCAATCAAATCAATCAATCTGCATATGCCAATCCTCAATGAATCGAGTAAAGAACTCCCAATAAGCACAACCATGTCTGCCTCAACGGCAACGTCTATATGCAGTGTAACCAAGTAGTATGTGTAACTGTAACACTGTAACGATCAAACAAACCCGTTTTTTCCAAGCCCTTTTCGCCTCACTTGCCTCACTTCATGGATATCATTTGGTATTACTATTACATACATGACAACCGTGGCGAAAAGTCCCATACAGAACATACATACAGACAAAACACTCGTACAACCACATCAGCAGAAACTCATAAACATGTATTTTTCCACGCGGCACCAGCGGTACATACTGAAACATTACAATAAAACTGCGGCTGAAAATCCAGAACCGCTTTCCTTACCAAAAATGCCAAATGCCAAATGCCAACCAACGCACCGGCATTGACATCTCCATTCAATAATTCAATCCGCATTTCCAAACTTCAATATAATTCTAGACTTGCTAACTTGCACTTAACCCCCCGACGCATATCGCGCATTCTTTCCAATTCAATTTCATTTTCATTTTCATTTTCATTTCACTTCATTTCATTTCATTTCATACTCATCTTGGACATATCGCGCAGCGCGGATGCGCGTAAAGGGACGCTTTTCCAAAAGTTTAACCCCCCGAAGAAACCAATAGCAGACCAAGAACAAGGCGAAACCTCCCAACCAACCAACCAACCAACCAACCAGCCGACTTTTTATTGGCAATTTGTCTGGAACGTCACCGCATTCATACATCATCTCCAGATTTTCAGGGTTCAGGTTCCACTTTCTAGTAGGTATCTAGTCTCTAGCCTCTAGCATCTAGTATCTAGCATCTAGTATCTATAATCTATAATCTATAATCTATAATCTATAATCTATAATCTATAATCTATAATCTATAATCTATAATCTATAATCTATAATCTATAATCTATTATCTATAATCGTAATCTATAATCATAATCTATAATCGTAATCTATAATCATAATCTATAATCTATTATCTATAATCTATTATCTATAATCTATTATCTATTATTTACAGAGTACATAATACATACATACATACATACACACATACACACATACAAAGGGTTCAAGATCCACCGCACAAGCCAAAGGAGAGGTAACCGACGCAATCGACTTTTTATTATTATTATTATTATCATTATTATCGTCACAGTACACTAACCTTACAGTAAGTAGTATGTGCGTGCACGGAGTCCATCACATTCACATTCACCTTCCCTTACGGAGTACGGCTCGCTGAGGTCTCACTTAATATAAATCACGGTAAAACGATCCGGACCCAGGAAATCGTTTACCCATTTTTTGAGTTTTTTTTTTTCATGGTTTGGTGGGGGAAGTGAAGGGTGGGTTTCGTTTCTGCTTTTTTTGCTTTATTGAGGGTTTTGCGTACTTATTGGTGTACTACTTATTTACTTATTCCGCTGTTGTTTGTTTGTTCCGCTGTGTTGCGGTTGTGTATGCTGGTTGGGAATATGTACATATACTTACTGTATTGTGTGATTTTCATATCATATCTAGCTATCTAGCTATCTATCTATCTATCTATAATAGACAGATGCGGGAGTATAAGAATAAGCAAACAATAAGCCATACTCTCTCTATACAAGTAATCCAACAAACCAGACACTCTCTGCCCAAAACACCAAACATACATCCCTCGAAGAAACAAAAACAAGCACGAACTCCCTACTCAAGCAGGTAGGCCCACCACCGTCTCGGCAAAAAAGAAGTATACAGCGCTGCATAGCGCTGCATAGCGGTGCACCGCTATGCATGCGGATTATGCAAGAAATGCAGATACATAGATAGATGAAGAGAGAGCGGAAGCGATGCGATGCGATGCATAAAGACTCGCAAGATCCGCGCAAGCCTTACAGATAGGCTTGCACTGGATCCTCGTGATTCGATAGTTGCGCCGTGCTATGCATGTGTTCTAGATGCTCGATGTATGTATGTATGGATGGATGTATGTATGTGGCTTTTTCTTACAGGAGATATTTTTCATGGGAAGGTGGGGGTGGTTAGGTAGAGTAGGGAGGTAGGTCTTTGCTTTGGATTCTAGATTTTTTGGGGGGGAGATAGGTAGGATAGGATGGGATAGGATGGGGGTGTGCTTGGGAACGAGCGCTTGTTACGGTTGTTTGTGGTGCTGTGCTGTGCCGTGCTGTGTATGTACATACATGGTTTTGTTATTCCCGACTTGTGTGTTTGGGAAGGAAGCGGGAATTCGTGTTTGTAACTAACTGCTGGTATATGCGTTTCTGGATGCTTGGCTATACAGTAGGTAGGTACTTGAAGTTTTGAATCAAATATTCGTGTTTGTAACAGCTGGTGTTCGTTTGAGATACCTACCTAGTACGAGTGGTTACACATGTCTTCCAACGGTCATGTCGGTACTGGTTCGTTGTACTCACCTGGCGAATTTATATGAACCTATCATACGGACGGAATGCAATTACAACAGATATTATTTACAATTTACAGTCTGCCGGCATATCTACCAATGAAAGAGTCCGCAAAAGATCCCGATTCTAGCCACCATGACTACCGCGAATACAACGACGTAGAGTAACCTAGAACGACGTCTGAAAAAAAATCCCGACAAGCCAACCTCTCATTGCACAAACAAAATGTTCCGGAAAAAGCATGACCTGTTATATTTACGTGGATGCTGCCGGAGCCACATCTCCTATTTGTGCGGTGGGCTTACGCTGTACTGGTTCTTTAAAGAGTAATAATGGAGCTATGTGGTTTCGAAGTGAGGTTTGGAGCCACCATGGCCATGCGCGGATCGTACTCAGGATATACATTTCATTGGGTAAAACAATATGACCACTGCTTCCCGATAACACTTGGTTAACGATAGCAGAAGTGACGGTTTCAGGTTCGAGGATTGATTCCTTAAAGGTGGGCTGGGCGATTAGCTCTTCGATTAATGGGGTACGGACCCAGGCTGGATTAACAACGCTGATTCTTTTGTGAGTGTGGAATACTAGTGACAAGATCCAATGGAAGGAATTTGGCGACTTACGTGGTTTTGATGTTTGGTGCGTTGTATCGATGTTTTAATTCTGATGCGAGTCCTTCGTGGAAGGCGAGTGCACTGGCTTTGGTACATGCATAATCTACATTGGCTGCGTGAACCACATAACTTGCGAGACTGGCGACCGTTACCACATGACCATGATTCTTCTTGATCATGGCCGGGAGGAATTCTCTAGCCATCAAGAAATGGGATACCGTGTTGACATCGAATGTTCTTCGAATTTGTTCTTCGGTGGTTTCTAAGATAGGTTGGGAATATCCAAGTCCAGCATTATTGATAATTACGGTAGGATCTCCTTGATCCTTTCGAATTTCTAAAGCTGCGGAGGCTATTTGTGATGATGATGTTACATCAACTTGGTAATAAAATACATTTGATGCTTTAAGACCTGTCAGTCATCATCACCACATGGTCCCGGAGACAGAAAACTTACGAAATGGAGTCTTTGGAGGGTTCAAATCCATCACCACAACTTTAACTCCTTTAGATGAGAAATCTCTCGCCATTATTTCCCCCATTCCACTCGAACCACCCGTGATCAACACCAGCTCCTGACTCTTGATAAATTTCGCATTGCCCTTCCAATTATTCAATACAAGGTGAGATAACTTGTTGTTGAGACCTTTTAAAATACCAAATACGAATAAAATCTTCAACGTTCGAGCAGCAGCCGGAGAAGTAATATGTGGTTGGATATTGGTCGGAAGAATAGCTCGTAATTTGTGCGGGTAGTATAAGAGTGCTGCAAGAAGCGCACCGGTGAGTTTGGGATCAAAAGGAGCGGCGAGAATTGTCGACATCTTGGTGTTTGCTGTGATTTTCAATACCTAGGAATAGGTTCTATGGTTTAAGTTGATGAAGGAGCAGGTGAATCGATAGTCATAAGGGAGCAAATTCTTTATATACCAAATACCAATATCAATTACTGTATACACACTTTCTCCCATATCAAGTCAAGGAGTTCAGACCCAAGATTCATGAGCTCAAGATTAATAAACGTGTGGAGCTGCCGAGGTCAAAATGAAAGGTTAATGAATGGGTAAACAGGTGTATGTGTATGGCAGGGTGGAGACCACGCGCACGGAGTACCTACATTCCTGTCGCACGTACTTGTCTACGGTAGAATAGATGTCCGGGCTAAGCTTGCAACGATACAGGAGAGTCTTCTTCATGTCACATCTCGAATGCTGCAGACATCAATTTGTCGTACCTACAGGAAAATGAGGTTGTGTCGGTATGATGATGTTACGTATATGATATGATGCGATGTATGATAGCGAATAAGTCCCGTGCGTCAGTGCCGAATCCTTCTTATATAATACGCAGGTGGTATTTTTATCTCCAGCTACCCCGCCCATCACGAGGGCCAACCCCGCCTTAGACTACCCGTCGATACCCTGATCCCCTGATCCCCTGATCTTTGGCCACATCACTTTATGTTCAAAAAGACACAATTATGAAATCGTAAATACGCGTTGTTTACCAAGATTCTATTATCGTTCATACTTATTTTTCGCACAACAAAATAAACTTCCAACTGGGGCCCATCATGAGTTCGACTAAACTTCCATTCGATGTAAGATCCTACAATTTCAAACAATTATGGAAATACCCCTGACTCAACTCGAAACACTAACCCGCCCGCATTTAGCTTAAAAACACGTCCCTCTTCCACGATAAGTCATACGTCAATGGAGAATGGATCGAAGCTAAATCCGGCAAACGTTTCGACATCATAGGTATTGACTCCCAGATCAACATCTCTCCGCAAACCACAACAAAATCCTAACAACCCACCAGATCCCGGAACCGGTCAAGTATGGGCCACAGCACCCGACAACGATGCATCGGATGTAGATGGCGCCGTGCAAGCCGCCCACACGGCTTTTGAATCTTTCAAGAAAGTTAATCCGAGGACAAGGGCCCAGTGGCTTTTGAAATGGGATTCTTTGATTAGGGAGAATAAGGAGGATTTGGCTAAGATTGTTACTTATGAGACGGGAAAACCAATCGTTGAGAGTTTGGGTGAGATAGATTATGCGTTGGGTTTTACGTGGTGGTTTGCTGGGGAGGCGGAGAGGGTTACGGGAACGATTCAGGTATGTCTTTCTTTTTAGATGTGTCTGTTGTTTGCTACAGATGTTTCTTTCGCTGTATATCGTATCACATATTTTCACGAAGCTTTCTGTATCCTCGGCATCATTCCCGTGTTTGCACATTGCTAACGTAGGATCTTACCTCGTGATTAGACATCCTCAGTACCCGGTAGAAGAGTATTCACCATCAAGCAACCAGTTGGTGTGGCTGCTGCATTAGTACCATGGAATTTCCCAATTGCGTAAGTAACCCTAACCTCTCCGATTTTCTATCTAACATTCATTAGAATGATTCTGCGAAAGGCTGGAGCTGCCTTTGCAGCCGGTTGTTCTATGGTAGTAAAACCATCACCAGAAACACCTCTATCCGTACTATCTTTAGCCATGCTTGCTGAGCAAGCAGGATTCCCAAAAGGTGTATTCAGTGTTTTGACTACAAGTTTGGATAATACCCCTCCGCTGAGTGAAGCATTGTGTCGTCATCCGTTGATTAAAAAAGTGACCTTTACTGGTTCGGTGAGATCATACATCCATATTGATGAACGTAGCCTGAATACTAACGACTTTTAGACAAGAGTTGGTAAACTTGTGGCAAAATTGTGTTCTGATGGATTGAAGAAAGTTACCTTGGAACTTGGTGGCAACTGTCCTTTTATAGTATTTGATGATGCGGATTTGAATCAAGCTGCTGATGGTATGTTAAATTTTTTTCACTTTGGGTTAGATACTTGTAGATCGTGATGCTTTATGTCTCATAAAAAACCTGGATGACCCCTAGCAAATACTAACACGAATAGCACTCATGGGCCTCAAATGGCGTCACGCCGGCCAAGCTTGCATAACCGCCAATCGCGTATATGTACAATCCGGTATCTACGACACCTTTGCCACACTCATCAAAGAAAAGACCTCCAAACTTAAGATCGGCCATGGCGCCAAAGAAGGAACTACACTCGGACCCCTCACCACTTCTCGAGGTGTCGATAAAGTCATAGATCAAATCGAAGATGCCAAGAAACATGGTGGGCAAGTTGTACTCGGAGGTGCAAAAGTCAAAGATACCACGGGGTATTTTTTCGAACCGACGATAATTTTGGGAGCGAAGAAGGAAATGTTAATTACGGAAGAGGAAACTTTCGGGCCGGTATTGGCGTTGTATTCTTTTGAGACGGAGGAGGAAGCGGTTGAGGCGGCGAATAATACTAGTGTAAGTTTTGCATTTTTTTGTGTGAGAGGTAGAATATGAGGTGTACTAACACAAATATAATAGATGGGTCTAGCATCCTACTTCTTCACCAAGAACATCGATCGTACTTGGCGACTTTTAGAAAATCTAGAAGCGGGTATGATTGGGATGAATACTGGTATGTAACTTTACCCTCTTCATTAATTCATACATTCATACATAAGACTGTATGCTAACAAAAAATCCACATCATAGGTAGTTCATCCGCAGCCGAATCACCATTTGGCGGAATCAAAGAATCAGGCTATGGAAAGGAATCCGGAAAAGATGTCGCGATTAATGAATACCTTATTACGAAAACGGGAACGATGACTATTGATGGTCATTATTAGGTTTGGTGAGCTAGCTACTGGATCTTACTGATTCTTCTGTTCTTTCGTGCTGGAGGAGAAAGGTGAAGGGTGAAAGTTGAAGTGAATGTGTACACGATAATTTTATGATCTAGGATTTATGAATTAGTGATGAAATGAATTGATTAGTAAAAAAAATTGATATATATCTTTATCAAAATCGTATTATTAGAGTCACATAATAAAGAATCAGTTATATTCAAATAATAAACAAAAGATTCAAAAAAGAATCAATACTTTTTATTACTTTTTAAATTCTATTTAAGAATCTCTTTATATAAATAAAAACTTTTTCAAATTAATATAAATATCAACTTTTTTTTAATTAATTAACTTTTTATAATCAAGAATTGTATTATATATTAAATGATTTAATATATAATTAATTGATTATTTTAAATAATTTTAAATAGATGAATATATAATAAAATATATATAAGTAATATAATATTAAATTTTATAAATAAAATTATATATATTATTTATTGAAAATATAAAGATTTTATAAAATTATTTTAACAATTTGAAAAAGTGTATTAGTTTTGAAATTTTAAAATTTAATTTTATTAAAAGTTTCTTTAAAAAATAATTGAATTTTTAAATTGTTTTAAAAATTATTTATAATTTATTAATAACTTTTTAATAAAAGTTAAATTCAGATTTTGAAACAATTAAATAATATATTAATTAGATATTTTGATATTTATTGAGATATATTTTTAATTTAAATTTATAGATATATAATAATTTTTGGGGGTTTGATAATTTAATAATTTAATAAAAAATTAAATATATTATATTTAATTGATAATTAATATTGAAAAAATATATTATATAAGATTTCTTTTTAAAGTTTATGATTTGAATTTTGAAATAAAATCATAACTTGGAATTAGAATGATATTATTAATCAGATTAAAATAAAATAATTGAATGAATATCTTAATATATAAATTATTTATTTAGAATTATTGAGTTAGAAGTATGAGATATTTTAGTTTTAGTTATTGATATATTCTAATGTGAGATGTATTTGTTGGAATTTATAATATAGTCTCAAAGCTTTTGATGATTTGTTGCTAGGTACTTAAATCACTTGTTGGGATGGATGCACTCTGTGATGTAATGTGAGGAGATGCAACAAACTCCTTTCGAGATTTTGTGGTTTCTTAGAAAAGATTGAAGGAGTTAGAGCTAGATAAAGGCTGGAGTAGTATACTTAATCACTTTTATAAATTATCTAATAGTGACACATTTTAGATTTCGAAATTTGTAGTTTATTGAACCTACTTATCCCACTTATCAGGGTGCAACCTGGCAATATGAATATATAGATATACAATATACCTTTTTCAAGCTCTTTAAGTGAAAGATTAATAAAACTAGAAGTTAGGAAACTTGGAACCAAAAGGAATAAAGTAAGATTTAGACATTATATCAAAGTTTAGATTCATGGTTTAAATTCAAGACTAATATTTTATTAATGACCTTTGGTGAAATTTGTATTCTTGTTGGGATCATGTCTGCATCTTGAGAATGTAGATGTACAAGATAAAAGTTTCAAGAGGCCTCGCCTCTATGAGGTGTGTTGAATAATATGTCTGAGTGACAGATATAAAGAAAGCGAGATGGTGAATTAGACTTTTTAATTAATCAAAATTTATCCGTCTCAAGAATTGTGACGTCTATACTACCCACGCATTTGTCAGGATCGAATCTGTAGATTGAATATGTAGATATGTAATATAATCAACCCAAGAACTTGAAGTAGAAGACGATTATTTTTATCAGTCTAGTTTCGAAATTAGAGGGACCAATCATTTAGGACTCGAGACCGTTGACGCACTAATTGCTCATGCGGCTAGGAAATCTCAAACTCTGAAACTTCAAGTATATACCATAAAGTACTAAACCACAAAAGGAAGACCTTAATACTTTAGTTCTCGGTATCAAGTTTTTTTTGACAGCATAACGAATCATTTTCACAAGTCTAAAAACCGCACTTGCGAGGATATGACTTGTAAACGGACATTTAGATGCGCAACAAAAATCTTCTGAGGATTTTGAGTGGATGAGTGGGAATGCTAGTCGTGGTTTCCAGGCCTTGAATGGCTGTTTTTGGTTTAGAATTTTCACCAAGCTGGGCACGCTTGACTTTATGTGTCCAGATCCCGAAGATATATTCCTTTTTTTTTACACTGACCCAAGGTTTCTATTTTCGGAAACTCCAATATTCTGATTTTGGGGTTTTTACATCTGGGCGCAAATCTCCCTTCTGCGAGGTTCCAGGTCTTTAGTCATCTAACCATTTATCTTATTACCTTTCCGACTACAAAAGTCTACTTTGTATTTATACATTACCACTCTCCGCTCATCAATAGGTTTAAACTTCATACCAGTTGGTAAACTTATCATCACATATACCACCAGCATGATATCTATATATTGGAATGTAAATATGCGATGTCGCACTTTCCAGGAAAGTGAGAACATCAAAGACATCGAAGCGCTAAGTCGGCTTAGGTTACCGAACCTAGGTTGGAAAAGCTATTTGTAAGTACCGAAGTATAAATGCCGAAGCGGTTCCACCCTTACCACACAATCAAGGTATACTGCTCACATATTTCCCTCTCATATGATAATTATGATGAACACCATTGAATTATAAATGCCGATACTTAACGTCAACATAACTCAAGGCCTGCGGGTGGAAATTTCTGAAATCTATTCATGTGACCATATTTGGCCTTGATCATGAATATCGGAAGTAAACGAATACTTGACTTTAAGAATATATGATATACTAATCGAAGAACTTACCTAAGATACAAAACTACGAGGATGAATCCTGTATATAAAACAAATAGATGTGCAACAAATAGAGAATTGGCTATTTTCGAAGGCTCTGAATGGAATATCGAGATGCTTATTAGAGTAGACAGACTTTAGCACAGGCAGAGACTAATTAGGCCAAGCATGCACTTTGTCAGGATGAGCCTCCTGATCTCCTATCATAGACGTGCAACATAATTTGATGTATTCTAGCCACACGTTTTGGTTGGATGGAAGAATTTCGGAAATTATTCAAACAGCTAACGATAGTAAGCTAATTAGGCTGAAAGAGTGAATTAATTAACATAAATTCTCTATAAATCTGTAAAAACAACTTTCTCAAGCGCTGAACCAGGAAAATCTCCTACCTTTAGGCTTCTGACTGGAATTTTGCACTGTTGAGTGCCAATCTTTTTGTTCATCTATTCTGCATACGGATATCTGTGAGGTATATAAGTGCAAAATATTTACTGTATTTGGAGGATTGGGTGCCCTATGTAAAAATCATAAGATATTTTACCTCGTATCATAGGCCAAGTATAACAAGGATCCCACTAAACTATCTGGACTTATCATCAACAGTGGAAAGAGTAGTATATTATCCATACACTTGTTGGGATACAGCCTGTAAATTGAATTTGTAGATATGCAACATTAAGATTCTAAAAGCGTTGAGTGGAAGGTGCTCGTCATAGATGCCAGAGCTAAGTGAATGGTCCTGTCTAAACGAATCTTCGAGATTCGTGAACTTCAAGATAGAAGAACATAGAGTACTACTTTTACACTTGTAAGGATGAAACTTGAAATTGACAGCTGTCAGGTTTGCAACGTTGATTTTTCGAGGTCATTGAGTGGTGGATGATGATCGACTTAGTGTTAATCACCGGAGCTAGAAGAAAATTTCTAGGTTCAAAGTAATCGCCAGACTCTGAAAAAGCGAGACAAAGAGAACTATTTACATACTTGCCAGGTTGAGGGCTGTAATTTAGAGCTATGAGATGTGCAACATTGCTCTTGAAGAGTTCTCAGTGGTAGAGGAGTTGAAATTATTCCACGCTAGAGAAGATAACAAAGAACGGCTTCAGACTAGATTTCTTTTATAATTGACTCGCCGGTATACTACTTACCCAAGCATTTACGCACTTGTCAGGAAGAACCCGGAAAAATGAAATCCTAGACATGCAACAAAACTCCTTCAGAAACTTTAAGTGAATGAAGATTAGAATAGTTGTTTAAAGATTCGTTAGTTACGAAATATCGGGTAACGGAGGTAGAGAGATTCAATAAAAGGAGGATAATACATTTGTTATAATCTGTTGTATAAGCAATCTGGAATGAATTGGTATCAATGAAATTTACCTCTTTCAAAGTTATGTGTGGTGTATAGAAGACAATTTGCAACCGCAAACCAAACGGCTAACACTAAACGAACTCTACTCAAACAAGAAGAGTTACTAATTCATGGGATACTTATCAGAATTTCTGGATTTAGAAAAATTCACACGCTTGTCAGGATGAGCCTTGCAATATGGCTTTTCAGATGTGTAACATATTTGTACATTGCGCTTTGAATGGCTTTTAGTGAAAGATGATACGATAAAAGATGCTATTTGTGGTTGCTGGAGCTAGGAAAACCGTTTGTTCTCCTAGTCATTATTTTAGGAATATGGATAGCACTTGTAAGGATCACACCTGTAAAATGTATGTTCAGATATGCAACATTGTTATATAATCGGCTTTCAATAGCTTTGAGTGGAGGGCTATTTAAAGTACTAACTTTAGTTTTAGAAGCTAGGGAAGGACAATGAACCCGGCTGTAGAATAGGAAGTAGTAATAGCACTTGTCAGGATAACGCCTGTAAATTGAATATCTAGATGTGCAACATAAGCTTTCTGAGGATTTTAGGCCTAAAATGGGAAAGTGGTTAGTTAGTACTCATTACAGAGCTCTGATAAAAGTTATGCTTGCAAGTGTTGGTGGTACTGAGTAAGCGACCGTGATGTAATCCGATTTTGGCTTGGGGGAGAGATTTCTCTGGATTCCTGAAGCCGAATCAGATGGCATGGTAAACTTCATGTAAATTAACGACGCTAGAAGCCCCCGATTTTCGAATTTAACCTTCAATTCGTGTCCTTGATAGATGGTGGCATTGTGGGGGAAGGGGGAAGCTTGGATTTCCCAAACAATCCAGCGCTGATTTTTTTTGGCGCAATTAAAAGCGATATGCTAAATTTTGTAATAGGGTCGTTTAAAAAAAATTCATTGATTATTTTTAATACTCGATTAACCAGTTAATGAAAACAACAAAGAAGAAAGTCCGTTTTGGGTAT